TCCCCAACTCGGCCAAAGCGCGTTCCGGGGACTCTGAACCCGACCCTGCGCCCGCCGAAGGGAATTAGGAGAACCCAGCCACCCGAACCCCCAGCCCAACACCTCAGGGTTGTGGGGCGGGGCGAGGAGCCGGAAGGGGGCGGATTTACCCTGGCCCCGCCCACTGGCTGGGGCCGCGTTCACTAGGGGGCCGTTTCCTAGTTTCCGCCGACACCCCCTCTTCTCGCGAGAAAGAGGGCTTCCTCTCGGCCTCTCGCAGTCTTATCTCGCGAGCATTTTCTCTGCTGGAAAGGGTTAATTTTGGCGGTGTAGGGTATCTCTGTATACCTGGGCCAGCTGTTACGTATCTGAGTACCTTGATCCAAGGTCTAGGGAGTTCTGGCCTTCAGTGGCCTTCGCGAGGGTTTCTGACTTTGAGGAAGTCGGGCTGCAACCAAAGTAGGGAAAACTAGGTGAGCTGCAGCCCGAAAAAAGCGACTAGAAATGTTTTGTACTTGATTCTGGAGAAGGGGATTTTCTCGTTTGTGTCAACGATGTGCAAAGGAAAACACAAAAGGACTATAAAGTAGTGTCGCCTTAACTGCGAGAAAAGCTGGGGGAGAGCTTTAATACTGAAAGGGCTGTTGCCAGTCTGGTTTCCAAGGTTACCGCTTTTGCTAATCGGAAGAATTTTAAAATGCGGTGGACTCCTATTTTTAAACGTACTGCTTGCTGGCTTTTGCCCCAACTGAGCTTCCAAATAACAAAGTCCACAAGCTGCCTTCAGTGAATGGTAACTAATGGCGTTGTTACTGACAGTGAACACACTGAGTTAGAAATAATAGCTCTTACAATTGTTTTTGCACGTCTAGTTTCATATTATCTTCTCTATAACACAGTTAACCAATAAGGAATTCAAGATACAAAGATGTGGAACCAGCAGTTAGCGTAATGGCTATGTCGCTGGACTCCCACGTAGTCGACTGCGGTTCACGTCCTGGACCCGGTGGCTTAAAACTCACGCCGGGCGCGTGTGGGTACGTGCCCAAGATCCCGAGAGGAGAATGGAGGAGAAGGGATTGCGGCGTGACCATCCCCCCTGGGGGGCGATTTCTCGCTTTCTGTCTCTATGTCTCTCTCTGTCTGTCTGGCGAGCGCACCCGCCCTACAGTGAAAATCTCTCCAAAAAAAAAAAAAAAAAGAAGATACAAAGATGTTCAGAAACATTCTCAAAGTCTAGTATCTTGTTTTAAATAGTGAGGCCTGGGGACCAGCAGTTAGCATAATGACTATGTCGCTGGACTCCCACGCAGTCGACTGTGGTTCACGTCCTGGACCCGGTGGCTTAAAACTCACGCCGGGCGCATGTGCGTGCGTGCCCAAGATCCCGAGAGGAGAGCAGAGGAGAGCGGAGGAGAAGAGATTGTGGCGTGGCCATCCCCCTCCGTGGGGCGGGGCGGGGGGTGATTTCTCGCTTTCTGTCTCTCTGTCTCTCACTGGCTGGCTGGCGAGCGCACGCGCCCTGTAGCAAAAACCTCTCAAAAAAAAAAAAATAGTGAGGCCTGCATCCAGATCCTTGGACACTATTGGTCTTTGCCAACTGTTGCTATATGTTAATATTAATTTCAGTGACACAGAGAAAGACCTCCATCTCTTCTGTTTTCTCTGCATATTCCCTTTGTACATAAAAATTCCAAAATTTACTGCTTCTGACTTGTCAAAGAAGAAGATGAGAATTGCTTTCATTTTGAGACCTCGGGTTTAAGAACTTCCTTAAACATAAAACAAGAACATAAACTTCTTTTGTATTTTTCAAATCAGAGTGGTATACTTTTGAAGCAGGAAAACTAGTTATCTTTTATCCTTCTTGTACATTTGAGAAATAAAGTTAGTTGCGTGATGATCCTAGAGTGGAAGAATTGCGGGTGCAAAGAACAATGATTTCTCCCAGACAATGTACCTAAAAAATAAATAATGCTAAATGATGAGTATTTAGTTTGCAGCTATCTTGAGCCCTTTTCTCTGACTTCAAGGGATCTAAGAAATCTTCACTTTCAGATGACAAGCATGGCCAACTGTGCAGGTTGAGTCAAGGACCCAGAGGATTGAAAAACATTCTGGGTGTGTGTGTGAGTGTTTTGCTGAAAATCCCAAAAGGAGAGATGGAGAAGGGATTGCCACATGGACATCCCATCTAGATGGAGCTTTCTCACTTTCTCTCTCTTTTTTTCTTCTTTTTAAAATATTTATGTATTTATTTTTGCCATTGGGCGTGTATGCTCACTGGAGAGACAGAGATAAAGAAGATGAGAAATTAACCCCTCAGGATGGATGGCCACAATACATTCCCTTCTCCATTCTCCTCCTGGGTTTTTGGGCATGCACGCACATGTGCATGGTGTGATTTTCAAACTGCTAGTCCATGACTCAAACTGCAGTAGGCTATGTGGGAGTCCAGTGCCTTAACCACTACATCACCTGCTGGTCCCTCTCTCTATCTCTGTCTCTCTCTGGCATGCATATTTGCCCTATACATACATACATACACGCACATATAAAACTAATAATAATATATCAGTACAAGTTCATTAACTGTGACAAATGTACCATGATAATATAAGAGGCTAATAATAGAAACTGGGGGCCAAAAATCTCATGAGAGGTCAAATTCCTATGAATTCTCACAGAAGCTGCCGCTCTTCCTCTTTTCATCATAAGCGGCCTGAAATGATCTTGGAAAATGGTTCGCTCTTCACTTGATCCAGAGAACCCCAAAAGTCACACAAATCAAGAGGTTCAGATCTTCCTGTTCATTTTAAGAATATCCATGAAACTGCCCACACCATTGAGGGTACGCATATCCCAAAAGCAACCAAGTATCTGAAGGACATCACTTTACTGAAGCAGTGTGTGCCATTCCGTCGTTACGATGATGGAGTTGATAAATGTGCTCAGGACAAACAGTGGGGCTGGACACAAGGTGGGTGGCCCAAAAACAGTGCTGAATTTTTGCTACAGACGGTTAAAAATAAAGAGTAATGCTGAACTTAAGGGGTTAGATGTAGACTCTGATCATTGGGCATGCTCAGGTGAACAAGGCACCCAAAATGTGCCGTTGTACATACAGAACTCATGGGTGGTTTAACCCATATGTGAGCTCCCCCGCCACATCGAGATGATCCTCACCGAAAAGGAGTAAATTGTTCCTAAACCAGAAGAGGAAGTTACACAGGAGAAAAAGATACCCCAGAAGAAACTGAAGAAACATAAACTTATGGAATGGGGATAAAGTCAGCATAAAATAAATGCAGATAAAAGTTTAAAAAAACAGTAAAAAAACTGGGTGTGAGTTATGTGGAACTCTACTATTTTCACAATTTGTTTATAGATCTATAACTGTTGTAAGTTTTTTTTTTTTTTGAGAGGTTTTCGCTATAGGGTGCATGCGCTTGCCAGACAGACAGAGAGAGACACAGAGACAGAAAGCGAGAAATCACCCCCCAGGGGGGATGGTCACGCTGCAATCCCTTCTCCTCTATTCTCCTCTCGGGATCTTGGGCATGCATGCACACGCGCCCGGCGTGAGTTTTAAGCCACCAGGTCCGGGACGTGAACCACGGTCGACTACGTGGGAGTCCAGCGACATAGCCATTACACTAACTGCTGGTTCCCACTGTTGTAAGTTTTTTAAAAAGTGATTTTAAAGCCATTTTCTGTATTTGGGGATATCTTTTAGGTTATCAACTGCAGACATAATCATAACTGGAAAGGCAGTATGATGGTTCTTTAAATAGTTCATGGAAGGGGCTGGGAGGTGGTGTGGTGGTTAAGGGCGCTAGACTCCCACATGGTCGACTGTGGTTTGAGTCCTGGACCTGGGGGCTTGCTTTCTCACTTTCTCTCCCTCTCTCTCTCTCTCTCTCTCTCTCTCTCTCCCTATCTGGTCAAATTAAAAATAAATAAAGTTAAATAAGAAAATTTTTACAAAAAATAGTTCATGAAAAAATGTAACTAAAGCATGAATGTATTTTGGTGAAAAAGAATTAAAATCCAGGCATAATTTTTTCATAATACCAATTTGCCATGAACTTTTTAAAGACTCCTTGTATAATCATAGATAAATAATGTTTTAAGATTTAGTTGGGGTTGGGGGCAGCAGGTGGCATGGTGGTTAAGGGCACTGGACTCCTACATGGCTGACCACGACTCGAGTCCTGGAACTTGCAGCTTGCTTGCTCTCTCTCTCTCTCCTCTTTCTCTCTGTTCCTCTCTGGTCAAACTAAAACAAACAAATTAATTAATTAAATATTCTTTAAAAAAATTTAGCTGCGGGATGCAATTGTTTGGGTTTCCCCTCAAAATTCATGTGTTAGAACTTTGTTGTATCTTATTACATATTAAAACATCTAATAAGTTTCCTTTTAATACCTTCAAACTGTTTAAAAGTGATGCCTTTGGGGGTGGTGAAGTGATTATGGGGTTCCTGTGGTTGAATCCTGGTGGGTTAATAAAAAGAGGGAATGAGACACACCCTCTGGGTCATGCTCCTCGCCCACACCACATTGTGATACAGCCTCACCAGACGTGCCCTTGAACCTTGGCCCTCCAAACCATGAGCTGAATAAACCTCTACTTTCTTAAATCTTCCCGACTCAGAAACCAGCAGTTAGCATAATGGCTATGTCGCTGGGCTCCCACATAGTCGACCGCAGTTCGTGTCCTGCACCTGGTGGCTTAAACTCAC